GCCCCGCGCCCGCCGCCTCCGCCAGCCCCGCGCCCGCCGCGCCGGCCCCCGCCGCGCCCAAGCCCGCGGTGCCCGCCAAGCCGGGCGCTGCCGCTGTCCTGCCCGCCGCCCCGCAGCCCGTGTCCCCGCGGCCCGCGCTGGGCGCTGCCCCTCCCCGCATCGTGGCCCCGCAGCTGATCGTGCGGCCCCCCCCGCAAACCACCATCCAGCTGCCGCCCGGCTTCACCATCCCGCCCGGTAAGTGAGCGCCGCGCTCCCCGCGCTGTCTCACCTTCTTGGTCCCAGGGCTTTTCTCCCCCTGAAGTTGTCACCCTCCCGCTGCTCGACGAGCTGGAAACCGGAGAAGAGCCACCACCACTGGCTGCCGCTAATTAGGGTGTCATTGGTGCGGCTCGTGCACGGTAATTGCAGCTGTTGTGGGTGAGTTACCGGAGTGTCCTGGGGTCAGCGGCAGTCACGGTGAGTTACCCCGAGGTGGTACCGGAGATAAAGCTGGGGTGTTAGCTAAGAAGAACTTTATATATGTTTGGAAGGACTTTATTTTCTGCTTTACACTTGATAGTCTTGGAAAGTTTTCCTGTTGGAAAGCATGTCTTCTGCTGCAATTCAAGTGGCAGGATACAGGCAAATCTGTGCAATGTAGCATTTTTAATGTCAGTAATTGCGGTGGTGTTACTGTCTGCTGTGTCAGGGCAGTCTTACCACCACCATATTTCATTTCCAATTCTTATGTCCTGTTTGTGCTGCTCTAAATTTCTTAACTTTCGTTACTAAAAATGTAAGTTCAGCAAGGTCGCTGACTAACCAAACCAGCATCCCTTCATCCCAGTGATTCTTGATCTAACTCTATATTGTTTCATCCAAGGAGTTCTATGGTCCCCTGTTTAGACTTTCATGTTGCAGAGACTTGGGTATCTTCGTGTCTTTTTGACTTAGGAGTTGATTTAACATTTGAACTAATTTGTTTTTCCCGTTAATGTCACTGTCTGAAATAACTTATTTCTTCCATCTCGTTTCTTAAAATATTTGATACTTACTAGCTAAGTAGAGCAACAGTGTGATGGTCTAGAAGCTTGCTTCTAGGTTCACTCGGTAGTAGTTGTGTATTTGGCCATAGTTTATGAAAGATCCTCCAGATTCTGATGCTCCAAACGTACCAAGCTTGGTGGTTTCACGAAGACCCAACTGACTTGAAACACATAAGTTGCTCTTCAGACTTGACTCCCAGTTGTCAGTCTGTCGAAAATTACCATGTGCACATGATAATGTGCACTGTAACTTTGCGCACAGTTTCTGAAGTTCGTTGTAGCAATACTTTGATCTGTTACTTACTTTCACACAGAAGAGCGACAAAGGAGCCTTTGAAACCAGTCCAATCCAGGGTTTAGTAAATGTAACTATATGTTATGTAAATAATACTCTGGAAAGTTATAATTCGAGTTTTCATTACAAGATAGTTGGAAATCCAATAGTTTGGGGCCTCTGGTGGTCTAGTGGTTAGGGTGCAGGACTCTCACCGCTGCGACCCGGGTTCGATTCCCGGCCCCCCGGGCAGATGGAGCTCGTTAGCCCTGTGAGGCAATCCATCTAAGAGAAGGTCACTCTAAACAAACCTACGTCCTGGGGACCTCACTGCCACTGTCCGAGTTTCACTCGGCCCCGGCAGATGAACCTCAGGATTAAAGGGTGGGCTCAGTTCAGCGCAAGCTGTGTCTCACCTAAAAAAATCCACTACGCAGGCTTGAAGGGTTAATGACCTTTCCCAAATCTTCGCTCGCGAAGACTGGCCATTATTATTATTATTAGTTGGAAATCCATTAAATTTGCAAAAACATGAAGACAGTATGTTCTAAAGTGAAGTTACTCAGAAAATACAGTGGTACTTTTGAGTTTTTAAACTGGTGGATCGTTTATAATTAATCTGAAACTTCTATATTGCAAACTTCTGCATAAAGCAGAAATTAAGAATCAGTTCTTGAGAATAGATTTTTCTGGTGTATAATACTCATAAGTTGTGTATTTCATCTTTAAATGGCTGATGGGAAGGTAAAATTAGTCTCATAACATAACCAGATTCTAATGTACATACTGCTCAGCAAAAGGAATTTGTAGTCCTCCAAACTGAGTTAAACATAATGTTAATACATGAGCATTTATGCATCTGTGGTAGTAATTATGTCAGCAACTTTAACTGAGATTGTGTGGCATGTGCTGCATTTAATTTGTCCTTTCCGTTCAATTTTTCTCTATTGAGAATTAGGTTTAGAAAATGGGAAGATAAATTAACAACACACCTGTGAATCTGTGTAGTGCAAATGTGAATTTTTTAATGTGTGGTCGGAATATCCTATGAAGATTTTTTTATTCAGGTTTACAACATAATCAGAGAAGTGATAACCTCTTTGGCCATCACGTTTGAGTGTCCAGATGTTTTAGGAATGGCATATACCAAACACATCACCTGCTTGCAGAATTTTCTACAGATGTAAACTGTGAAGTTGATGCTTAAATGGCTAATGGACCTTAAAGGTTACCTTTTAAAAGAGTTTTTAAGGGGTTTCTTTCAACCTTTTTTTTTTTTTTTCTAATTACTCTTTGCTTTGGAAGGGAGTTACGATTGTGGATTTGGATTTTGGATGTGGTCCTTGCTGTAGCTCTGTCTGCCTGTTACCTTAAACCTTGATTTCCGTGAATCTTTAGTTTGTAGTGGCAGAAATTTGCCTGTTTGTGTTTGTGGCAGTGAAGGCTGGCAGGGAGCACCTAAGACTGTGTGAGGGAGGGTTTTATTGGTGCTGCAGTTCACTCACATGTTCATCCCACGACTGGGATTTGGTTTTCTGTGTCAGAAACTGAAAGAAAGACTTTCTTGGTATAGAGTTCTGACATTTGTTACACTACTGTTTGAATTACTTTGCCATCAGAGTTAGTTGCAGACTGTGTCCTTTGAATGGGGACCTTCTTCATTTTCTTTTGAAAAGCTAAAAAACATATATGAAGCAATTTTCACATGGAAATAAATTGTGGAAACAATGTCTACTGATGGTTAACAGCAGAATAGAAGGGTTCTTATTTTTTTAGTTCTTTAGTTGTTGCAAATAAGATGTTTTTCTGTTTATTTGACCCATTGTATCCTATCTAGGTTAAATTATTAAAATGTATTCTGGAGCTAAATTGGCATTTCCTTTTAAATACTCTGTCTGGTAACTGTTTTTTAGTTCTGAGTGAGCTAGAGGAAGATCATTACATGCTTTGCAGTGATCTTGAATAAGTGTCAAACTCCAGGTGATCCAGGGACCACCTTAGCCATTGTCTCCCCTTTACTGACCTACTGACCAGAAAACTTAGGGCACAACTTAATGGCAGTGGCTGTGTTGTGTAGAAGGCCTCTATTTGTGAGGTCTTTTACAAGAAAATAATCTGAAAAAATTATCATTTACTTCCAGAAATTGTTAATTTTAAAACAATTCCATTGCTGTTTTTCTAAAATTGCTGCACTTGTATCGTTGTGTGCTGAGGGGTGGTTGGTTCTCAGGCACTGACAGAGAACTGTTTGTTCTTGATGTCTAAACCACAGGTAGTGCCTCCCAAAATGGTGGGGATGGCGGGGTGGGCACCAAATCATCTGTTAATGCTCAGTGTTTAAGTAAATCTCAAATATTGTATACTCAGAAATGTGTCTGATCTAATGTTTGCATGCACATATCCCCATGAGCTGTTGTTTTAGTGAAGCTCTCAGGTCATTGTCCCTGGTATATGAAACACTGAGTTCTGTTCTCAGCTGCTGCATTGTTGGTATAGTTCACTTTTAATGAGGATTTCTTTCTAATTTTATTCTGACCTGACTAGACTGCTGACAGTTGCTGTACACCTGTATACTCAAGTGACTGCTTTTTTCATCACTGCTACCCATAAACTGCAGTTATTTGAATTCCAAACTGAATTGGGTATGAGTTTTTGGCTGCTGGTGGCGTCTCCTTTTCTTCTTTGAAATTAAATCTCGTGTTATGTGAGGATAAAAAAAACCCCACAACATAGAGAAAAATGTGCAGTGCTATACATTAATTTTATTCTGTATTCTGCAGTCACATAGTTCTTTGTGTGTTATTCTCCACATTATTTGTGTTTCTGTCCTCCAATCCCTGTTCCTTTGCTCCCAGGGATGGTGCTGGTGCGCACGGACGCGGGACAGCTGGTGATGGTGCCCCAGCAGGCTCTAGCCCAGGCTCAGATGCAGGCTCAGGTGCAGACACAGGGACAGGGCCCTGCCAACCTGTCACCCAGGCTTTCTGTGCCCACCACTGGCCCTGTTTTTCGCCTGTCAACAGCTCAGGTATGTCTGGCTTGGTTTCACTTCACCCTGGTGCATTGTGTTTTACTCTGTCTTGCACATCATCAGCTCATATATTGTTGCAACTTTGCCTTCGTCCCTTTTGTGTTGTGAGAACAGGAAATACTTAAACATAGTTTATTTTCTGAGGATTTTTATTTATTTCAGGAAAAAAATCTACTTTATGAAGTCCCTCAAGACCTTGTTCAGACTGAGGTCACTGGAGGGTAGGAAGCTCAGTGGTGGTTTGGACTGGTTTAGTGAGTGCCCCTTGCTGCTCTAATCAGAAGGACTGTGGTATCCCACTGTGCTGAATGGCTGCCTGGGATAACTGGGTTTCACTGGACATTAGAAAAGAAAAAAACCAAGCACGTTCTATACAAGGATTGGCAATAATTAACTTTCTAAAATATACTTTATTCAAAACAAAGATTTGATTCCTTTGATTCACCTCTGGGTCTGATCTGTCTACAGTGAAAGTTTTGTCTGTGTCATGAATATTCTTCCTTTTTTCTAAGGATTGACAGGACAGTGTGCTTTGCTATCCCAAACTCTTCAGTGGAGTGTGTTCATTTTAACTCGGACTGATTTAGTTTCAAGGGTGAAGGTGTACTGTATTTTAAATTACTTTGAAGGCTTCATTGGTTTAAGAGTTTCTAAGGAGGCAGTTTAGCTTTGGGCCATTTGGAGCTAGAGCTGAATGTAGAGGCAAACATTTTTGGATTTTAGTACAGGGCAGCTGTTTAGACAGAGTTTAAGGTATTTGCCTAAGGTCTGTGTTTGCAGAAATGATCAGTAATTCTGAGGAAAGGAGATGAAGAGGGTGCCTGTATTATTTTCCATTTGTTTTATAAGTTGCTTCAAATAACTTTAACAGGTATTTTCCAATATTTAACGTTTGATGACTGACTCATTGTGTGCTTTATGCATGACACCATATTTATGTTCCCAAATATTATTGTTTAATTAAAAACTGAAAACAATGATAAACTTTTCAGAAGAGAAGGAAGCCAGAATAAAATCAGAGAATGGAAAGGAAGTTAATAACAAGAGGCAATCTAAACCACAGAGTAGCCAACTACAGTATAAGTTTTAGAAATGAGTGTCACAGGGAAGACTGTAGCTCAATGGAGTGTATCTCAGGAAAGACATAAATGAAAGCCTGGAAACACTTGGAAGAACTTTGTGCTCTCAGAAAAGAGGTAAGTGCAGGATTGGATGAAATTTGTAAAAGAACTTTTTGCAGAAAAGGCAGTAATTTAATGTTTAAATTTGTGATGTCTGGAAGGATAAGAAGACTTGTAGAAGCCTTCTACATTTCTTCAAAGAGAAATGTATTCCAGGAAGAAGAAACACAGAGAGAAGCCTGTGTTCATCTAGAGATTTTTTTTTTTTTCACTAATTCCATGACAACAAAGTTGCAGACAAGTTCTTCTTTTGAGTTTGTGTGCCTGTCTTTGGTCGTTTGGGGCTTTCTTTGTGACTAAGAACAATCACTTCTTTAGTGGTTCCTGCAGGCACACATTCTAGCAGTGGGTCCTGAGACAAGTGCACAGTGTAACTGCACAGCTGAAGCTGTGGGGTGGGACTGCACCAAGAATATCACCTCAGTCTCTTCAAGTGAGTTAGCTTTAGCTGTTTCTCTTCCATGCTGGTAGTTTTTATGTGACTGTAATTTGCTGTGGCCAGCATATAGAATTAAAATTCCCAACAGATATTAACAAATTGTTTGTCATTTGTAAACTTCTGAGGAACACACCTGTGTTGCACATGGAATAGGAAGGATGCAAACGTGCAGACTGACTGCTTGGCTCTGTGTTCAGTGTGCATCCCCAAGTCAGCCTTAAGATGTGTGCACAGCAAATGCTGATCATGTTGGCCTCAGGCAGCTGTCCTCTAGCTATATGAGGCAGTTGAGGTTGTAGAAGGAGTGTAATTTGACTTGATGGATTTATATAAAAATAAAACCACGAGGATAGTGCACAGTCATGTATCTGCAGAGTCAGCTGAAACCTGGAGGAGTTCAGGTGTAATTGTTCTTGTGCAGGGTCTGCCCAGATAAATACCCCACTGCATTATAGATCCTCCTTTCCCCTACTTAGTGCTAATAAGGTGGTTGAGAATAGAGGAAACCAGCAAGGCCTTATGAATGATAAATATCTTGCAGGATGCAGAAGTTTGATTATTTTCGTGTAGTGGGATTAGAATAATGAGATTGTAGCTTGTCAGGATTCATGTCCTCTGACAGATCTTTGTGGTAGCTGCCCAAACTGTACTGGATCATTTCTGTATTTGTTGTAATTAACAGGGTTAAGAAATTATTATTATTTTGTCCTTGGGAAATTCACATTGAACTTCCCTGACTCTGCATGTGATCTGCAGGCTCTTCTTTCATTGTGACAGTGCTTATGTTTTATATATGTTTGACCTTAGAGCAGTCTTTAAAAATTGTGGTTGACAGCCTTTTAGAACCAGATTGTAAAGGTTTAAATTCTTAAGGTTTATCTTATCAGAACTAGACCCGAGACATTTATTTGATTTGGTGAATGGTTTATAACCACAGACTGTTCACTGGTGACAAATATTATGCTCAGGTTTTGGAAATGTCAGTTATTTGTTTGAGTAGTCATTATAATTAATCAGTAGAGGGATCAAGTTCTAAAACACGGGAAACTTTGCACTGAAAAATAATTTTTTAGGTGAGTTTATGATTAAGCTGTTTTCTTTCACAATCTATTTCTGATGTGTCAGAACGCTGTATCCTGTGAATTAAAATTTTCAGGAGAAGTTTAAAATTAATCAGAAGTAACATCTTTTGTTTTTATGTCTATAAAGTATAATATTCAGGAGTCACTGTGACTGAAACACAGAAAAATTCTGGTGCCATTAGATCAAGAGAGACAGAAAATAAACATTAATTGCCTGAGTCCTGCAGAGTATTTTGTGAGATAGATGAACATGGCAGGCTGTGCAGTTTTAACCTTTCTCTCTGATGTTAGTGGAATGATCATTATTTTACTGTGCAAAGCTCAAATTTATTACTATGTCTTCAGCTATTTTAAGATACCTTTATTTGGATTAAAATGCAGGGTGATTTAAATGTGTAGAACTTGGTATTGTACCTTAGTCTCTGAGTGTGTGTTTTACTCTGCTTTTACCTATGTAGAAAGTCTACGCAGGTGGAAATCTGCAGTCTGCCTTAAGGAGTATAGGAAATAACATCTTATTAAGATAATGTATGAGAAGAAGAAGAATGTATGAGAAAAAGACATGGCTTTCATGTTTCATAACTACGATGGTTGCTTTTCTTGAGATTGTTCTACTTCTTAGCCAGTGTCAAGTGCCACAAGTTACTCAGCTAAGTGATTGTTTTCAGTGTTAATTTGTATATACACTTCACATGATTGTTGTGTGGAGAAAGTGTAGTTAGATGTAAAACACAGGATATTAAATAACATGCCAAAGAAATTGCAAAAGCTGGCAGTTACTTTTGGCAACTCGTTAAGAAGTGTTGAAAGTGATAACTGGAGAATATAAAATGGATTATGAATTGCTTTCTTTAAAAATAGAAGAAAGAGTGTCTGAAAAATTGCCCAACTGTTCATCTAAATTTCAAAGTTCTTTGATTCTCTCCCCCTGACAACTGAGTAATTTCTTCATTCTCAAAAAGATAGGAGGGGAAATAAGGCAATGTTTGCGATGTTCTTAAATGAGATTGCCTCGGTGGGTACACGCAGAGCTGGTCAGGTTCTGAGCCACTTCTGCAGCCTGGCAGCACTGCAAGGTTTTCATTTCCATATCCCAGGGCCATCATTTGCTAGATCTTCTCCTGGATGTTTTGGAGGGCAATGAACCAGGTTTCCCCTGTCAGTTCCTCTGGGTTCAGCTGCTGGGCTGGTATCTAGGACAGTGTGTGAGGAAGGAGCCACCTTTCTCCAGGAACAATGGAAGCTGCTGAAACAGGGCAAGAGTGGTCTGGTTTTTGCCTGAGATAGGGAAAGTGTAGTCTTGTTTTCCCTGAGGAATTCCTACAAGGGCTTAAGTAAAGGCTTTCCTTAAAGATCAGTGGCTTTGTCCTTACTTGTTGCCTTGTTGAAGGTTCAGAAGTCAAATACCTGTATCCTGTAGTATTTAGTTTTGTAGGGAATGGATACAGCCACCCCTCTGCCCTTCCCGAGTTTTAAAAAAAGATGTATTTGGATTGCAGTGCCAAACAGAAAAGTTCAGGATGATTAGGATACAGAACTTGCTGTTCATCCCACAGGGCTCTCTCTGCAGGTGTGCAGGGAAGTCCAGTCTTTGCATGATAAAAAGATGAGCCCTTCAGCTGGGCAGTCAAGGAACACAGTTGATGTTGGCTTAAATCTGATGTTTCTTACATTGTGAGTGCTTCTACTGACTGTAATACCTTTGTCTCATTTTTTACAGCTTTTAGGAGTAGAGGATGGAGGCAAATGTTTTATGTTAGGTTCTTGGGAGAAGAGAGGCAAATCCATTTTGAAAGGAAGATTTGGGTTTTTCTTGACTCTTAGGTGGGATAATCTTTGATTAGATGTTTAGTTATGCTCCTCTCCATTACTGCTGTGTAAAGCATGAATAAAATCTGATGGTTTCAATTCCTGGTGGAATTCTGGAAAACTGGCACATGGAGTTAAGCAAGTACCTTGCAGGGAAGGTCTCAGCTGTGATCAGTTTAAGGCTGAGCTCAAAGATGCTGGAGCAGGGACACGTGTCCCAAAGGGATGGAGAGTGTCTGCAGCACAGGCAGGAGCAGTGAAGGGGATTCAGTCACAAGGATCAGAATCTGAAGGTGACAGAACAGTCCAGAGAGAGCAGTGATTGAGAGAAGCACTTGCAATAGAAAGATGTACTTGATATTTTAATGATCTTTTACATTTGCAGTCTTTCTAGTTTCTTTAAAATATTCAAGAAAAACATGAATAGGTGCAACTGGAGCTTATAGTAGTTTTAATTTAGTTCAAAGTATAAGACTGTGTAGGACT